AATAAGGGAGAAATCTGAATTCAGTGCAGAAAGGAACAAATGGGGAGATGAGGAGTAATGTGGGACAGCAAGAGAATGAGTGACAGAGAGGGGAAAAAAGATAAAAGGAAGAAAAGAAAGAAAAGTAAAACTTTGAAGACTAGAGAAAAAGTAAAAATTAAGAATTGAAAATAGGAGAAAAAAATTTTTTTTTTCTTTTTTGCAAATAGCACTAGAAATTATGGGCCTGCTTCAGGATATGTCTCTGCTCTCACAGTAGGCAACATAGGAATCCATGTGCATATACGAGTCAATGAGTCTCAGCAAGCCCGCAGCAGACCAAGTACAGCGGTCTGATGGCACGTGCCTTTATTGTAAAGATTCTCTTTATTTTTCCACTGAGCTTCAGTTTTCATCGAAGAGCCTGAGAAGCCCTCTTTCTGTTACTAACTTCTGCTCTATCTTGTGGCGCTCAGGACAAGGGTCTTTATAATCTCCTGTGCCTCTGTAGTGTGGGACCAGGTAGCAGAAAAGCCAGAAGGCAGGAGGCGTGTGGGGGAGGAGATTGGGCCTTGGAGGCGCCCCCACCGCTAAGCGGACCTCACTGTGGCGTGGGCGGGGCCCGGTACAGCCTCGGAGCTTCATGCTGCTTGTCTCACCGTTTTATGCTGGCTGGTCCTGCCGAGGAGAGGGTCCTACTGTAGTATATTTTGAAATCAGATAAAGTGATACCCCAGGATTTTCTTTCTGCTCTGGATTTCTTTACTATTCTGGGTCTTTTGTGTTTCTGTATTAATTTTAGCTTTGTTTTTGTCTGGTTCTCAGAAGAATGTAATTAGTATTTTGAGAAAAATTGCATTGAATCTGTAGATCATTTTTGACAATATTGCCATATAGACAATATTAATTCTGTTGATCAGTGAAAATGGGAGAGATTTTCATTTTCTAATGCCTTTTACTATTTGTTCAGTACTCTGCAATTTTCACTGTAGATCTCTTTTTTTTTCTTTTTGAAGCAGTTATGAATAGAATTGTTTTTCTGATTTTTTTCTAAGCTTGATCATTATTAGTGTATAAAAAGCCCACTGGTTTTTAATGTTGACTTTATATCCTATTTTTGTTGAAATTGTTTATCAGATTCAAAAGTCTTTTGGTGGATGTTTTAGGGTCTTCTAAGTGAAGGATCGTATCTTTGGCAAATAAGGGTAATTTGTCGTATTCCTTTCTCAATTACATCCCTCTTATTTGTGTGTGTGTGTGTGTGTGTGTGTGTGTGTGTGTAAATACTAGGGGTCAAACCCAGGGCCTTTGCACTAAGCTTCATTCCCATCCTTCTTTTGTTTACTTTTTTTGAGACAAGGCCTTGCTAAATTTCCCAGAAATCTTGTACTTCTTTCCATTGACTAAATGCTCTGACTAAACTTACAAGTACCATAATAAATAGGAGTAGTAAACTCTAGACATACTCAGCCACCTCATTTTTGACAAATGAGCCAAACACCCTCACTGAAGGAAAGATAGCCTCTTTAATAAATGGTGCTGGAAAAGCTGGATTTCATCCTGCCACAGATTAAAACTAGACCCATATCTTTTACCAAGCACTAAACTAAAATTGAGTTGGATCCAAATCTAAATGTTAAAACAGAAACACTAAACCTGCTGGAAGATAGGTTAGGTAGAACTCTTGAAGACATTGACATTGGAAAAGACTTTATGAACAAAACCTCAGGATCATGGGAACTAGCACAAAGAATCAATAGCTGGGATCTCTTTTTTTATTAAAAAGCTTCTGCACTGTAAAAGAAACCACCAACAGAACTAAGAGACAACCTACCACGTGGGAAAAATATTTTGACTAGCTGTTCCTCAGACAAGGGACTACCACCAAGAATATATAAAGAACTTCAAAAAATCAGACCTCCTAAATTTAAAGACCCAATGCAAAAATGAGCATCTGAAATGAAGACATTTCTCAGACAAAGTAGAAGCACCAATTAACATATGAAAAAATGCTCAACATCACTGGTCATTCAAGAGATGCAGATGAAAAGAACACTGAGATTCCGACTCACTCCAAAAAGAATGGCTGCTATCAAGAAATCAACCAATAGCAAATGCTGGAAGGGCTGTGAGGAGGAAGGAATGCTTCTCCACTGTTGGTGGGAGTATAGACTGTGCAACCACTGTGGAAGTAAGTGTGGAGATTCCTCAAAAAACCAGGATTAGAAGTCCCAGTTGACCCTGCTATTCCCCTTCTGGGTATGTTCCCCAAAGAATTAAAAACATCATACCACAGCTACACATGCTCACACATGTTCATAGCAGTGCAGTTTGTAATAGCTAAATTTTGGAAACAGCCCAAAAGCCAATCAACTGGTGAGTGGATAAAGAAAATATGGGGGTTTTTTATAAAATGGAATAGTACTCAGCCATAAATATAAACTTGAGACATTTATAGCTAAATGGATGCACATTGATGCCGTACTCCATAGTGCAATAAATAGGACACACATGTGTAAATACCAAATCATTTCTCTGGTGTGAGAAACTGAAGATGTAAATGAGGACCAAAATGTATAGTAGATATTGTGAAATAGAAAATGTTTAAAGGGAAAGGGGAACTAGGGAGGGGGGGCAGGGGAAAGGAAAGAAGTGAAAGGAAAAAATTGAAAGTAAGAAAAAAATGGAAACAAAGCTTATGTGTATGGGGGGAGGGCTTGAAGGGAGGGCAGGGGAATGGGAAAAAATAAGAATAAAGATATACCATGTACAGGTACAAATTCTCAATGATGAATGTGATAATAAGGTGTACCTGAATGTACCAATAAACTCAATAAAAAATTTTTTTTAAATAAATAGTAGTAGTATTTAGATTGATTTTAGAGGAAATGCTTTCAGGTTTTTCCCAATTGTGTATGATGTTGCTTTGTGGGTTGGTTGGATATAGCCTTTAATATTTTAAGGTATATATCTAGTAAACTATACCTAATTTCTTCAGGAATATTGAATTTTATTGTCTTTTTCTGTATCAGTTGAGATTATGATGTGATTTTTACCTTTGATTCCATTTATGCATTGTTTTAATTTTTTATTTACACATTTTGAACCATCCTTGCATCCCAGAATGAACCAACTTAATCATCATATCTGTTCTTTTTAATGAGTTATGAAATTCACTTTTTAAAATATTTTATTAAGGATTTCTACATCCATACTCATTGTTATGGCTTGTATCTAGCTGTCCCCTTAAAGCCTCCTGCACCCATAGGTAGGCTTTTCAAAGGTGGCTGGATCTAGAATGTGTTACTGGGATTAAGATTTGATGATGAGGGGCAGGGATTTACCTCAGTGGTATCATGCCTGCCTTGCAAGCGTCAGGTCCTGAATTTGATCCCCAGTAATGCCCCCCCCCAAAAAAAAGATTTTATGATGGGATCAAAGGTGTGTGATTAATAAATTAGCCCACTAATTGATTTGGCATAGTTCTGGGTAGGATTAAGGCTGCTCCACCCTGTAAGTGCTAATCACCTTAAGGGGAGATAGCCTGGATAGGATATAAGTTACAGAATGAGGTACATGGCTGGCCGCTTGTCACTTGTCACTTGTTGCTTGCTGCTTCCTACCTTGCTGCCTTCTGTCTGCCATGAACTGTTTCTCCTCTGTGATGCCTCTGTGCCATGCCACCCTACCTTGGAGCTAGCCATTTATGGATTGAAACCTCTACAAATTGTGAGCCAAATAAACCTTTCCTCCTCTAAATTTGGGTTTTGGGTATTTTGTCTCAACAATGAGAAAAGTTAACTAAGACACTCATCAAGAATATTTGATTATCATTTTTTATGTTCTTATACAATTTTAGTATCAGAGTGATATTAACATCATAAAATGAGTTTGGAAATGCTCATCCTCTTTCAGCTTTATGTAGTTTTTTTTAAAGGTCTAGTAAAATTCAGCAGTGACTACACTGGGTCCTGGGCTCTTCTTTTTTAGGAAACTTTATCACTGCTTTAATCTCATTGCTTCTTATATATCCGTTTAGGCTTGTTTATATCCTTTTGATTCAACTTTGATAGGATATATGCCTCTAAAAATTTATCCATTTCTTCTAGATTTTCCAATTTATCCATTTCTTCCAGATCTCCAATTTATTGAAATATATGATTTAAAAGAGTCCTCAACAGTTCTCTGGATTCAGTTCTGTTTGCTGCAGTTTCCACTTTGTACCACTAATTGTATTGATCCTGGTCTTCTCACTCTCTTTTTGTTAGTTTGGCTGAGGGTGAGTTGGTCTTCTTTATTTTTGCAAAGAACCATCTCTGTTTCATAGATCCTTTATATTGTTCTTTCAGTCTTTTTTATTAATTTACCTTTGGCCTTTATTATTTCTTTCCTTCTATTGAGTTTGGATTTTGTTTGCTCTCATTTTTCTCATAACTTGAGATGCATCATTGCATTGTGTAATGAAGGTAGCTTCATCACATATGAGTATCACTACTCCTGCTTGATTTTGAAATCCATTTTCCTGGAATATCATTTTATTCTTTTCATTTACAGTCTTTGGCATTGAAGTGTAATTCTTTCAGGCAAGAAAGAGGTAAATCTTGATTTTTAATACATCTGCCATCCAGTGGTTTACTTTTTATTGGAGAATTAAGACCATTTACCTTTAGGATTATTTTTGAAAGGTGTCTACTAATTCCTCTCATTTTGTTGTTTTTCTAATGTTAGGTTTTTTTCCTAATTCTCAGTTGCTTATCTTTCTTCCTCTTCAATATGTAAGATTACTTTAAATATCTTCTGTAATGCTGGTTTAGTGGTCATGAATTTCTTTAGTTTATGCTTTTCATGGAAGATCTTTATTTCTCTTTAGATTCTGAAGGATAGATATGCTATACATAGCCATTTAGGTTGGCAGTTATTTTTTTTTTAGGTCTTGAAACACATCATCTCATGCCTGCTTGGTCTTTAGAGTTTCTGCTGAGAAACCTGCAGTTATTCTGATGCATTTGTCTACAGAGCAAGTGACTTGGCATTTCTCTCTTGTAGCTTTCAATCCTTTTTCCTTGTTCTGAACTCCTGGAATTTTAATTATAATATGATATTTGGAGATTCTTTTCTGGTGATACTTGGTTTGGGGATCTAAATGCCTCCTGTACCTGGATGGCCATAGTTTTCTGCTATTTTCCACTGGGTTCTATGCCTTTAATCTGTACCTCAAACTCCTCCTTTGTACTAAAAATTTGTAAGTTTTATTTTTATATGTCTCAGAGTTCTTGGATATTTTGTTCATAATTTATTTTTTGTCTGTTTCCATTTCTAGTATCTCAGAGAAGTAATTCTTGAACTTTGTCTTCAAACCCCGAAGTTCTGTCTTCTGCTTCATCCAGTCTACTGCTGAGGCTTTCTGAAAAATTGTTTTTTGACTTCCTGTGTTTTTCATTTCCAAGATTTCTGTTTGATTCTCTTCAGAATCTCTGTCTCCTTGTTCAATAATTCTTTTATAGCTTTCAAAATCTTCCTTAATTCACTCAAATGCTTAATTTCATCCTATTTCAAGTAATTTATTTTAAAAATCAATATTATGAATTCTTCGTCTTTTCATCCATTTAAGTATCTTTGGATTTAGCTGCTGAAGGGATATGAAGCTTGAAGGAGTCAGGTTGCCTTTTTATATTTCTTGTGTTTTTATCTCAAGCTCTGTACATATATTGGGCTGGCTCTATTCTGTTTGGGTCTTCTTGGTGTACAGCCTTCTTTTAAGGGCCCAATCCCTATTAACACTCTGAGAAGAGAAAACAAACTGCAAGAATAACAGTGTAATGACAAACCAGATATTAAAATACAATAAAAACAATTTAAAAATATGTGAGCCAATTATGCGTCCCACTTGATCAGGCACACCTGTCTGTGTACCTGAGAGTATGGTAAAATTCCAAGAAGAGGTGTATCCCCCAATGTGTCTGCAAACAGAAGAGGCAAACAGACCCCTTAGTTCTGTGTTGGGTGGAAGTAACAACCAGAACAAAGCAATCCATTGGGCTCAATCCCAATGCTTTCAGACCCAGCCCTCTGAGAAAGCCATGTGCAATGGGTTTCATTCTTTAACACAGAAGGCAGAGCTGCCAACAACTGTGCCCTCCACAGTGCCCTCCACAGCCTACATTTCCCCACACTTTATACTTCTCAGAGGGTCTATGACAAATCCCATTCCTTCCATGACTGCAGTTGTTAGTATTGTGTTGCTAGAACAAAATACTTGACACAACTTGTAAAGGAAGAAGAATTTGTTTTGGTTCATGGTTTTGGAGGTTTCTGTCTGTGGTTGGCTGGCTCCAAGGCACAGGAGCGTGGCAGGCAGGAAGCAGCAAGGATCAAAGGAGAATCAGGGATGTATATCCTCCATGCCATGCCTTCATTGACTCACTTCTGCCCACCAGGCTTCACCTCCCAAAATCACACTCAGTTATAAACCCATCATTGAACTAATCCAGTATCACACCCATGATCCAGTCTCCTCCCAAAATTCCTACCTATGAGCCCATGAGGCTTTGAAGGGACATCTAGATATAAACCATAACACCAGGATTCTGGCTGAAGGATCTAGGGTTCCATGTCTTGCTGTGTCACACTAAATAAAATATACATACCACCTATGGCCACATATTTACCCCAAGAAAAACCAGAGATCATTCTGAGGGACAAATATTTTGCAAAAATAATGGTGGTAAGCCAGAAGGAAGGAAGAAATCATATCTGAAGGTGACATTTTGTATGCTTTTCAGGATCATCAAAAACAAGCTACTTTAAATGAAGATGTAAATATCCATTTTCACTTATGGGATATAGCAGTTTCTACTACCTGATTCTTGTGTCCTTCCAAGACATGTTTATTCTTACCCAATAAACTCCAATAATGTTTAACTAATGTCTCAGCTGGACCACCCAGCTCTGGAAAAAGGAAAGAAACAGCCATTCCCAGTTCTATATTTTTCCATGCTGACAATGTCAGGAAAAAATGAGAGCTGTATGTTAAAACATGAGGACTTCCCTCATTTAAAATAAACTGTACCCAGAGTCTTACAATTTTAGGATTAGTAGAGCTGAAGAACATGGACAGACAACTGATTGGTTTTTCTCTCTAAGACCCTTTATTCTAGCACTATTTACTATTGATATTAACCAAACCAACATAAAATAAGGCCCAGGTCTGCATTCTCCTGTTAGAACTTCCAGGATAATCCATGTCTCATTCTCAGTGCCCAGTTTATCACAAAATCATCCCCAAATCCAGTATTTCACCTTTGTCACTTAGAATATCTTCTTTCAAATTTGTTCATTTCCAGGAAACCCTATAAACATTTATAATCTGAGGTTTCTTTGGAATAACATTTTTAGATGCTGACAGAAAACACATCTGACTGGACTTGAACCATATCAACTTCTATACTGCATGAGAACATCTTTATTGTGAGAGATTCTTATAAAACCCAAAGTCAGAGTCATTGCAAAACTTAGTGAGGAAGTGGAATGAAAACCCCATGCCTGGGGAAGTCCATCTGGAGTTCAATAAAAATTTACTTGTAGTTAACTAAGATTATGGTAAAATTTTTTCTGGCTTTAGGGTCATCCCACATTTGAAAGAATTCTTATATATTAGCATAATTTCTGGATCTCTACAATCACATCACTAAGTAAGTGTAAGTAATTATATCTCAAACCTGGTAAAATCACAGGCAGTCAATATCTGCTTAAATATTACCCTTATCACTGCCATTTTTATGATTGTAAGACTTCAAAATGTTTATTAAATGCCTATGAGGACCTCTGGCCAAAAGGAACTTCTGCCCAGGTAAAATTATGGCTAGATTGCCAATAGAGAGACTTGTCAACACAGTTGTCCTTTCATCTTAGATCTTCACCATGGTATAACTAATGCCACAGTCAGAGGAAATAAGTCCTCAGGATGTTTGCCACTGGATTGTTTTGACCAAGGTCCAGTCTTGTTCCCTGATAATCTCACAAAACTGAGGGCAGGACAGAGGCATTCTACCTCTCTGATCAGCCTGCATCACTTAGAGCCATAGCAGATCTACTTGATGGACATTGAGGGTAGAGGTGCTGAGGGGGAGAGAGGAGAAGCAGTTAGATATTGACTTTCAGGAAACTGGATGACAGTTGTGACAGAGTTGCCAGACAGCTTTGCTTGCAATATATTGGTAGGACTTATTGCTCCTGGCTCCTTGGGTATGATAATGATGTCTTATCAGGATGCACTTCTGAATAAAGTTCATGTAAATTACTGAAAACTTTTTTTTTCCCTTTCTCTTCACCTTAGTAACCAGAAATATTGTCCAGGAAAGAATTTAAATGTATTTAGTCTAGTAAATTTCCCCTTAATTCAGCTCAGGTTTATTTGGATGTCTTCATCATTGTGTAAACTCTTAGTGTTTTGTGACTTTTGTATCAATCTTGTTGTCAATTCCTACCTATTTACCCCAGAGTATTTCTGCACATTTTCACAGTAGGTATGGTTCCTTACCCCATTGTACTTCACAAATAAATCAGACATTTAAAGCCAGAAGGCTCTGAGAAAGCAAAACACTCCAGAACACAGGAAATATGAGTTGTTTGTGTCTGAGCCTTGATTTAAATGAAGAATTTGAGGAAAGCTGAGGCCTTTAACATGTTTCACCTTGAGGAACAAGATGTAAAAATGCAAACCAAAGTAGCACTCCCTTCAGAATCCCCACACCCATCAGGATCCAGAATTGATTCTTCTTTCTGACCAAAGTCCTTCATTAAGCCTGTCAGCTCATCATATAATGTTCTTCTTGTACTTAAACACTGAATGAGCTACTTCCATTTTCTTAAGGGTTTTCTACTAAGCTGGAATGGGAGAGTCAGATTCAACAATCAGTAGTTCGCCCTTGATTTCTACAGGCGCTGCAATTTCTTAACTATGAAAGGAACTGTATCAAGGATCTAACTCAAAATGCAAACTAATTGCTTCTAGCTCTTACTCTACCAAGTAACCAACAATGAGAAAACCGAGGATGCTATTTCCTTTAATCCTGTTACAAAAATGACTGCCTAATGGGCATGGTGCTTGTAATCTCAGCAAAACTGGAAGGCTGAGGCAAGATCATCACTTTGAGTCCAGTCTGGGAAATTTAGTGATTTAAGGAGACCCAGTTTCAAAATAAAAATAAAAAATAAAATGGGCTAGGGATGTAGTTCAGTCGAAGGCTTCAAAAAGAGCAGGAGAAGGGGGAGGAGGGGAAGAGAAGGAGGGGAGAGGAGGGGAAGGAGGAGGTTCACACACTTCAACCTTGACCATACAGTAGAACCACCTCAGGGAATTTTGAAGTCTCAATGCCCATAAAACCTCCTACTATTTAAATGGGAATCGTCGCCTGGAACTCAGCCTCGGTATTTCCTGACTCCCTCTGGGAACTACAATCCATGGAGGATTAAAAAACAATGCCTTCAACCAGCAGTTCTCAAAGTTCAGTGTGCCTCAGATTCAGGTGGAGGACATTCTAAAATACAGGTTTTTGGGTCCCAACTCCAGAGTTTCTGAATCTGTAGTTCTTGGGCAGAGCCCAAAACTTGCAGTTCTAACAAGTTTCTAAATGAGATAGAAGCTGGCATTTTAGTAGACGGACTATACTTTGAGACCAGTGTCTTACATGAATATGTTCATCTTACAGTTTTAGTAAAAGAACCAAAGCATTTTACATGTTTCCATTTTAAGTCAATTGATTTAATACAATTAGTCATTTTAATAGCATTTTATAGTCTTTAATTTGACAAACAAACCGGTGACAGTGCCAAAGAGTAAGACTTAATAGGTTCACTCCTCTCCCAATTACACAAAAACTTCAACCTTCAACTCATAAAGCATAACTGAGATATTTAAACAAACCACTTATATGGTACTTAGGTAAAATTGTAGCCCTTGTAAAATGATATAGATTATAATCAATTTCATGAAGTATCTGGTTCATTTAATCCAGTTCATTTGAAAATTGAGCAGCTGAAGCATCAGAGAAAGAGAATTGCATAATTGCATGTTTGTAGCAAGAAAGCAGCAATTCAAAATTTTATCTAGTCATTTTTCTCATTTCTTAGGAAACAGCTTGCTTCTACAACTTTGAAAACCTGAAATATGTCTCCATATCAGCTGGAGCACATCACGCTAAGATCCTTATGTGATTATTGCATGACTTGGTATCATTGTATCACATACCCTTTTTAGAGGTTTTGAGTTTTGTTAACTGGCTATGTAACTATCAATGCCCTTATCAAATAATATTTAAAAACTTGTAGGTGGATATTTATAACAGCTTTATGCATAACAGAAAAACTGAAAGCAATACATTCATCAACAAATAATGATAAGTGATGACATATTTATATAAGTACTACACAAGAGTAAAGCAATTAGTATGTAACATAACAATGTAATGAATCTCATAGATACACTGTAGGGAACCATGTATATAAAAGTGTTCATTCTGTGTGATTATATGAAGTCCAAGAATAATAAATTTCAGAATTGTCCTTGTAGTCAAGGGAAGTATTGACTGAAAGAGATGACAGAGCCACCTGCAATGCTGACAAAGTCTACATCTTATTTTGTGTAGTAAAGTAGATTGACTTTATGATTTGTACACTTGCTACATTGTAAATTAATTGCAATTTATTAACACCAAAGATTACTTTTTTTTTGGTACTGGAGATTGAACTTGAGTCCTTGCGCTTGTGCAGCCGGTGGAGAAA